CGCCCGCGCCGCCTCCAGCAGGCACACGTGGATGGAGCCGTCGTCGCTGCCGCTGGCCACCAGCACGCGGCCGCCCGGCGCCGGCCGCACGTGCAGGCTGTTGACGCCGCAGCTGTGGGCGGGCACGGTGAGCAGCGGGGCGCCCAGCGCCACGGGCGGAGGCGCCGGGCGGGCAGCGGCGCGCGGGCACCCAGCCTGCAGCTGCAGCGCTCCCTCGGTGCCGTGCAGGGCGGCCGTGGCTTCCGCCAGCGCCGCAGTGATGTCCCAGAAGGCCAGGATGCCGTCGGTGGCAGCGCTGCACAGGTAGCAGCTCCTAGGACAGAGGGGTGGTGGGAGCGGCACGTCCAGAGCCGCCGGACCAGCATCGCGGCCCTGCTGCCCCTGTCTGCGAGGGCGAGCGGCGCTCGGGGCTCACCTGGTGCCGCCATCGTCCCCGTGCAGGAAGGCCTCCACCTTCAGCACGCAGCGCTGGTGGTGGAACGACTCCGCCACCAGCACCAGCTGCCGGGTGGCCTCCAGCAGCCCAAACACCCTGCGTTGGGACAGAGGGGGCTCAGCGGGCAGACGGGGCTCCCCACGTCCCCCTGTTCCCAGCTTGGAGCCCAGGGAGCCAGGGGGGAGGCACTGGCCCGGCCAGGGCCATCGTCCCGAGCGTCCCGCGGCGATTCCTCACCGGACTGAGGCGTCGCTGCAGGCGGCAGCCAGGAACAGGCAGGGAGGCGGCAGCTGCTCCGTGTCGGGCACAGGCACCACCGACAGGGACATGTACCTGCAGAGAAGGCACGATGTTTGCTCGCTGGTGGGGTCAGCGTGGGGCAGCCAGCACAAGCTGCCGGCAAGAGGAAGGCCTGAGCCGTTCCCCAAGCCCCAAAAAAGCCCCCACCGACTGTCACCTGGTCTCCGGGTCCATCTTGATGAGCTTGTGCCTGTTCTTCATTCGGTCCCAGTATTCATCGAGCCGGTGGGAGGCCACGTGGGTGACCTCGCAGGCCACGGTGCTCTCGGCGTCCGGGTCCCCGCTCAGGAGCAGCCGGTAGCACTCGATCTGCGCGCGGCCGCCGGCCGAGAAGAGCAGGGTGGAGAAGCCGTCGGCGCGGGGCTGCGCGGGGCCGGCCAGTGCCAGCGCCCGCACGCTGGAGATGTGGTCGTCGAGCGTGGTGACGGGCAGGGCGCTGCGGGAGCGCTCGTCGAGCGCCAGCACGCGGGCCGTGGTGTCCTCGCTGCCCGTGACGAAGACGTCGACGGCGGGGCGGCCGGGCGGGTGCACAGCGCCCAGGCGCCGCACGCACGTGATGTGCCGCCCGTGCAGCGAGGGCAGGAGCACGTGCTGCTCGCCGGGCTGGCGCGCGCCGCGGTACAGCATCACGTCCCCCTGCTTGACATAGGCGAAGGCCTCGGCCGCGCACTCGCCGCTGTAGCTCCAGGAGCGGTGGCCGCCGCCGCAGGGCACGCGGTGCAGCGCCTCGCCGGCGCGGCTGCTCCACACCACGAAGCTGTCGCTGTGGAAGCCCAGCACGAGCAGGTCGCCGCCGGTCGCGAAGCGCAGCTCCTCCACCCATTGCAGCCCCTTGCAGGGCCGCCGCTTGCGCAGCACCTCCAGCTGCCCGGCCCGCACGCGCAGCTGCCGGTAGCAGCCGTCCCGGCCCGTGCTGTACACGTAGCCGCCGTGGCAGGTCACCGAGGTGACGCCCGTCTTCCCGTGGAGCCCAAACAGCACCGAGAGCGGCTCCTCAAGAGGAAGAGTCTCTTTTTGCTCCAAGAAGGACATCTCTGTCTCGCTGGCGCAGTCTGTGCCGTCGGGGCAGGCGGCAGGGCCGGGGCTCTCCATGCCCGGCGCGGAGCAGCAGTGGAAGAGCAGGAGGGAGCCGCGGCGGTCACCGCAGAGGAGCCCGTCGCGGGGCAGGAGGGCGGCGCACGTGAGCCAGCGCTGCTTGCAGGGCGGCAGCGCCAAGCGCCCCGCGAGCCGCAGCCAGGGCGCCCGCCCCGGCCGCTGCCCCACGTCCAGCCAGAGCAGCTCCCCGCCCGGGCCCGAGGCCAGCAGGACGGCAGTGTCGCCGGGTGTCCCCACGGGGCGGGCGGCCCAGCTCAGCCCGTGCATGGTGCCCTCGAACAGCCTCGCGTGGGCGACGTGCGCCGGCTGCCCCAGCGCCAGCACAGCCAGGCGCCCGGCAGCGCTGCCCACGGCACACAGAGCGTCGCCGTCGGGGTCTGCGCCGGGTAGCGGGGTGGTCGCCAGCACCGCGCCGGGCCCCACGGCCTCGGCGGGCAGCAGCGGCTCCCAGCGCCCCGACACCACCTCGTAGGCCACCAACCCACCCGTCTCGCCCAGCACCAGCACCCGCCCCGGCCCTGCCAGCCGCACGGCCCGTGCTCGCTGCGGGGCCCCCAGCGCCACCGCCACCGGCGCCTCCCCGTCGCGGGGCCACCAGAGACGCACCCCGCCGTCGGCAGCACCCGTGGCCACGCAGCCGCCGGCGGG